CTTTATAGTTGGAGGTATCTTGCGATACTTTGGTATTCAAATAACGTCAGAAGGCTTTTCCGAACTCCCAGACGATGCACTCACGTAGTTTAACGACGACTTCCTTCCTCTCACTTAGATTCTCAGGATCGGGGTAAGAGCTACAGTCGATCAGACGAGGTTCACAACAGGAACAGAAAAGACTGACGCATGAATATCGCAGAACGTGCCACCTCGATCAGCACAGATCCGTATAGAGTGGTTGGGAACTTGAATAGGCGACATTGGTTGTAATGTTCAACGAGAAGCTGAGGAGTGGGAAGCAGGATTGACACGGCCTGCTTTTTGTGGTCATGGCTCGGAAGACATACGGAACGGACTCGAACGACAATAAATTTGACGGAAAGAGAATTTCCGGATTTCCGGTACCTTCACAATGCGCTCAAGATACCTTCGAAGGCAGTCTACTTGGACCAAGGAATAAAGCGAGAGCAATGGCTTTCGGAACAGTGGCGGACGCTCTGGCGAAGCTCAGGCACGTGGTTGGGGTATCTAAAGATAGATCACGCGTGGGCATGATTCGAAGTCATCTGCCCTTCCAGGCACTCGCCTTTGCTTCCTTCCCTCATCATCCTGAACCTTTCCACCTTCAAAACAGAATCTCAACATGAGCGGAACGAACCTTTTTGCGGCCGCTCACCACTTTGTAGCTAGCAACAACACATTCAACGAAGCTAAGACTGTGAGTGTCATATCAATGTCATGTTTATCGAAGGAAACAAGCTGATGGCGTTGGATCTCTTGCAGATCAACATTCACCACAATTATGGCAATAGGACGACATCTGATGGGGTCATTCCCCTTATGCCAAATCCGAGCAATCGGTTCACAGGCCGTACAGAAGTCATTGCTGAACTCAAGAGGCATTTCTTTGACACAAATGACTCAGCTCAGAAGAGAAAGTTCTGTCTGTTGTATGGAATGGGGGGTATTGGAAAGACTCAGATTTGTTTGAAGTTTGTTGAAGAAATGTCAGACTGGTGAGTATCATGAAAGAGGCAGGTCCAACCCTCATTTCTAATGTTTCAATTGCCTTCAGTTTCTCTCCTGTTTTTTGGATTGATGCTTCCTCAGTTGGTACTATCACACAGGGACTACAGGGTATCTGCAATCTTCCTGCAGCTCAGTCTAATGGTCTAGATGGCTCACCTGAATCAGCTCTTCACTGGATTGGCTCACTGAAAGAGAACTACATCATGGTCTTTGACAATGCAGATGTTCTATCACCTGCTGAGCTGGAGGCTTATCTTCCACCTGGAAAGGGGGGAAACATTCTGATAACTAGCTGCAACTCCACCATGAGGAATCTGACTTCACCTGAGAATTCTGTTGAAATAAGTGAGATGGAGGAGAATGATGCCATTGAGTTACTTCTGAAAGCCAGTTACTTGGCTCCATCTTCAATTGAGTTTCAAGCTGAAGCATCTAAGATTGTGAAGGAGTTCTCCTGCCTTCCTCTTGCTATTGATCAGGCTGGTGCTTATATTGCATCCGGGGCCACCAGTCTTGGAGACTACCTTGCAAAATATTCAGAGCACCGAGAAATGTTACTATCCCATTCTGAATTTACTGGTGCTTCCAAGTATAACAGAAGTGTCTATGCAACTTGGGAATTATCATACAAAGAAATTCAGAAGAGGGCTGAATCTGATGATCTACACAGAGCCAATGCAGCCAATAGTGCAATGCTTCTGCTGAATTTATTTCCTTTCTTGCATCATGAGGGAATCACTGAGAAAATATTTTCTTATGCTGCTCTTCAAGAAGATGAAGAAACCTCTGACCCTGAATTGCCACTTGCCAGTTCTATGCTGGATCAGAGACTACTTCCTCTTAACAAAACAGGTGCTTGGGATAACTTTGTCTTCGGAGAGGGGATTCAAATATTACTGTCATTCTCCTTGATCAAGAAAGGCCCATCGGATTGTGTGTATGCAATGCATCCACTTGTCCATACATGGGCAGAGACAGAA